AATTCAAATCATTAGGTTTGGGTTGCAAGCACTTTTACCCATTGAGCCATTCCTCCTGGCCCTGAAGTTTTTATTTTAAAGGATTGTTAAGAAATCTAAATAGGACCACCCTGTGGTTCCTGGGGTGTCCCAGACAGGACTGCAGCAGATAAGGTAACACCCCAGATCACAGGGTTTGTAGGGAAGGAAGATGTTTTTACTGTAAACAGAACTTGATAGTCTTGTTCTTAAAAGTTTCTGAAAGTATCTGGGAAGGAGTGAGGTCACACTCAGGTTATCCATTCTCCAGCCTCAGGCATGGTTCATTGCTATTATAATATTCTTATTTGAAAATAGCTTTGCTAAAAGGCATATCATCTGCACATAGGCAATTTTCAAAGCAAAGTATGTTAACTGTGCTGGAATTCTTGATTCTACGCTGGTGAAAGGCTTCAATCAGACTCCTGGGTAAGGGCTCCTTTTCTTTTTCATGTACCCACGATTTTCCTGTATTCTCTCTTGTCTCAGTTGTCTTATTTCTTACCCAAGATGTTTTGGCCCCTCAAGCCCACTCCGAGTCAGCCTGTACAGTTTAGAGGACAGGCTGTACTTGGGACGGCTGGTGCAATGGCTGGGAATGTCTTGAACTTGTTGCTCTGAGAGGAAACTGATGATAACTTGAGAATGCATGTTGATTCACAAATTTCTCTCTCTCCCTCTCTCTCTCTGTCTCCCTTTCTCTGAGACAGGGTTTCTCTGTGTAGACTTGGCTGTCCTGGACTCACTTTGTAGACTAGGCTGGCCTCAAACTCACAGCAATTGGCCTGCCTCTGCCTCCCTGGGTGCTGGGATTACCGGCGGCTTATAGTCCTTACTAAGTTCTTTAGTTTCTCTGAGTAATGCCTCTCTTGAGTATATGCATTTATAGCTGTGTAGTGGCTGGTGTTATGTATCAGCTTGACAAAAGCTAGAGTCATCAGAGGGGAAGGAACCTCAGTAGAAGAAATGTCTTCATGAAATCCAGCTGTAAGGCATTTTCTCAATCAGTGATCAGTGGGGGAAGGCCCAGCCCATTGTGGCTCACAATGCCAGGGGACATAGTCCATGGTGTCAGGGAAGGCACTGGAGCAGGAGCAGAGGACAGCTGGTCACACTGTCGATCCCCAGGAAGGAGAGAGAAGAATGCTGAAGCTCAAGTCCTGTCCTTTCTTATGCACCCAGGATCTCAGCCCATGGAATGGTTCCACCCATATTTAGGGGCAGTCTTCCACCTCAACTAACCTATTTCAGACAATCTCTCACAGAAAGATAAGCAGTTTGTCTTTTCCATGATTCTCTCTTCTGTCAAGTTGACAATATTAGCCATCAACTATTAGACACTATGAATTTTATTCTGTTGGGTATTTTGTGTTTGTCTCCTATAAATAAACGGGCCTTTGTATTTATACACATTCACTCAGAAATAACTTAAACCTAAGGGATGCAATCACTACATTGTCTTAGCTAAGACTACAGCTTTCCTAGCTATGGGAAATTTTATATGTACCACTGTAGGCGTGTTGGAAGCACAGACATGCCCAGAGTCTGGCTTTTTGTTGGGGTTCTGGGGGCTGAACTCCGGTTGTCAGACTTGCACACCAGGCTTGCACACCAGGCTTGCACACCAGCTGCACTTACCCACCTTTCCAGCCCAGCTTTCCACTCTTTTTGTTTTTCTCTTTCTTTCTATTGTGTGTGGAGGGGTGCGGGAGGTTGGGATGTTGCTTGCACACAGCTCTGGCTGTCAGCCTTGACAGCCAGCATCGTTAACCACCGAGCCCTGTCACCAGCCTTCTTAAAGATGGATCTTAGACAGGCTGGCCTGCAATGCTAGCACTTGGGAAGCAGAGGCAGAGGGATTGCTGAAAGTTCGAGAGCAGCTTTGTCTACACAAATTCCAGGCTTGCCAGGGGTACAATGGAAAATTCTGTCTCAGAAAATAAAAGTAAACAAATAAATAATAACCAAAATATTTAAAGGATGTTTTGACCAAGAGATGTTTTCGATTTTACTCATGCCTAACATATCAGTTTGAATTTTCAGGTTTTTTTTTTTTTCTGTATCTGTTTATCTTTCTCAAAGTTTAAGAGAGTTTTTAGATATCTTAAATTGTGTGTACTTGAGCATATTTTGGATATATGCCTAGGAGTGGTACAGCTGGATCTTGAGGTAGCACTATTCCTAATTGCCTGAGAAAGCGCGAGATTGATTTCCAGAGTGGTTGTGCTAGTTTACATTCCCGCCATCGATGGAGGAGGGTTCCTCTTTCTCTACATCCTCTCAAGCATGTGTTCTCACTTGAGTTTTTGATCTTAGCCATTCTGATGGGTGTAAGGTGAAAAGATCATCCTGAGTGAGGTATCCCAGAAGCAGAAAGACACACATGGTATACACTCACTTATAAGTGGATCCTAGACCTCTAATATAGGATAAACATACTAAAATCTATACACCTAAAGAAGCTAAGCAAGAAGAAGGATCCTGGGTAAGATGATCAATCCTCATTCAGAAAGGCAAACATGCTAGACACTGAAAGATGAAGAAAACAGGAAACAGGACAGGAGTCTACCACAGAGGGCCTCTGAAAGACTCTACCCAGCACGGTATTAAAGCAGATGCTGAGACTCATAGCCAAACTTTGGGCAGAGTGCAGGAAATCTTATGAAAGAAGGGGGAGGTAGAGAGACCTGGAGGGGACAGGAACTCCACAAGGAGAGCAACAGAACCAAGAAATCTGGGTCCAGGGGTCTTTTCTGAGACTGATACTCCAACCAAGGACCATTCATGGAGATAACCTAGAACCCCTGCACAGATGTAGCCCATGGCAGCTCAGTGTACAAGTGGGTGCCCTAGTAATGGGAACAGGGACTGTCTCTGACATGAACTGATTGGCCTGCTCTTTGATCACCTCCTCCTGAGGGGGAAGCAGCCTTACCAGGCCACAGAGGAAGACAATGCAGCCAGTCCTGAGGAGACCAGATAGGCTAGGGTCAGAAAGGAGAAGGACCTCCCCTACCAGTGGACTTGAGGAGGGGAATGAGAGGAGATGAGAGAGGGAGGGTGGGATTGGGAGGGACTGAGGGAAGGGGCTACAGCTGGGATACAAAGTGAATAAACTGTAATTAGTATAAAAAATTTAAATTAAAAAATCTTAATTTTTGGTTACGTGTGTGTGTGTGTGTGTGTGTGTGCATGCACAAGTGTCATGGTGTGTATGTGATAATCAGGAGCCAATGGAATGGTTAGTTGGCCCTCTCCCTGTACCATGCAGATCCCTAGGATGGGGCTCAGATCACCAGGCTTGGCAGCAGGCAGCACTACCAGCTGAGCCCTCTCACCAGCCCTTGTTTTCACTTCTTTGTGACACTGATGATTAACTGGAGTCAGGTGGATGCTGAGTAAACACGACTATTTAGCTCCAGGACCCTGGCCTCAACTTCAGTCCTCAAGCCTACAGTTACCATTGTATCTGGGCATTATTTTTGTCTGTATCATAAGATGAGGCCCTGAACTAGTGCCGCTCCGGTGCGGATGTCCTGTGGGTCCACACCGTTTATGGAGATGCTATCACCCTGCAGTCTGCTTCACTGTCAGTTGAGACATGTTTGTTTGTTGTGTTCACCTGCACATACTTGATGAAAGCATTGATCTGAAACAGTCATCTAACAACACTGCGTTTGAAAGAAACCAGAGCACAAGAAACAGTTTTTTGACTGTATAGAATACTGTGGCCTATCCAAAACAGGGGAAGTGTAGAGCTGTTTTTGGGGTAAACGGCTATAATGTGGTGACAAGTGATTTCTTTCATGTCATAATCACAAAAGATTATATTTATTTTTTTTCCAGAGAAGACCTCATTTGTCCCAGTTAGGGACCTAAAATCTGAAATACTAGATTAGAAATAAAAGTAGGGAAGTCAGGCATTTAAATTTATCATATCCCATAATTCTATTTGAAATACCGCCAGAAAAAAAGGAGTATGTTTTATTTCCTTGTTTAAAAGATCTTTTTTTTTTCTACATATAAACCTTATTTCAAGAATGCCTTTTTTGCTGGATGTAGTGGTACTTTATTCCCAGCATTAGGGAGGCAGAGACAAGCAGATCTCTGGAAGTCTAAGGCCAGCCTGTCTGCATAATCTTTTCTGTCGCTGTGATAAATACCCATGACCAAAGCAACTTTTAGAAGGAAAAATTTGCTTTGATTTATAACTTCCATGAGATTCAGTTCATGATAGTGGAGCAGAAGTATGGCAGCAAGAGGCAATCAGGGCTGCGGGAGGAGGAAGCTGACAGCAGAAAGGAGAGAGAGCAAATGGCCAGAGATTTCATCTCAAAGCCCACCTTCAGTGACATCCTTCTCACAGCAAGGCCAGACTCCCTAAACCTACTCAAACAGAACTGCTAACCGGGACCAAGTATTCAAGTGCCCAAGACTATGGGGACATTTCTCATTCAAACCAGCACATGCACACACACACACACACACACACACACACACATTAAAAACTCCCACAAACCCTGGGGTCAATCCCTAGCAAAGGAGAAATGGGATGGGAAAACTGCAGAGAATAGGCAAGATCAAGCAAGAGAAAAAGTGGGTTTCAGGCTGCTGAGGTTTGCGTGACCATGTCTCTCTAAAATCCACAGGCTGAAAGCTAAGCACCAGGACAATGGGCTCAGCCTTCAGAGGCCACAGCTAGCGCTTTATAAAAGGGACCTGAGGGAGCTTGGCCATCTTTGCTACCTCATGAAGTCAGTTTCTATGAGGAATCAGCCCTCACTACAGAGCAACTCTGTTGGATCCGTGATGGTGGATTTCCTGGTTTCTAAAATGTGAAGTTCTATTGCTTGCAAGTTGTCTAGTCTGACACAGTTCGTTATAACAACCTCAATGGACTGGAATACCAGGACACCTCTATGAAACTGATGAGGGTTTTGCACAAGGCCCCTGGAGGAAAGGGCAGAGCATTAGCATCCTTTTAAAACTCTTTTATTGGCGTTTCTTGTGCCTTTCTCCCTACTCCACCCCAAGTCCTTCCAACACCCCAACACCAGGGAGGAGAAAGAAGGTTAGGGTGGAGCTCTCGTTGGCTATTTCCTGCTGGTTAGGGTTGTTGGGTTCTTTGGGGCAAGTCCAATCTTCATTTCAGGAGATCTCCAATTTCTCATTAAACTGTAACAACAGCAACCAGGAGCAGTGGAGGGGAGCAGCAGCCTTCTTCTTTCTCAGAGCCCCTCTTCTCTTTCGGGGCTCCAGAGTCCTCAGACTTAAACTATCTGCAGCAGGGAAAGAGCCCCTCTCAGAGAGTGCACAAGGCAAACAGTTGGTCGCTGTGGACAATCTGAATCAGCTACATATCCCATACCTGGAATTAAAACAAAACCATGTTTATGTAACATAACTGAATTTTTAAAGACACCAACACTTCCACTACAGTAGTGTCCTAGTGGAGGGCCAAGCAGTGAACAGCAAGTTTACGGATAGAAGGGGTCTAGTTGTCACCTGTAAATCTTAGAGAAAAGGCTGCAGTAACTTTTTTCTTTTTCTTTCTTTCTTTCTTTCTTTCTTTCTTTCTTTCTTTCTTTCTTTCTTTCTTTCTTTCTTTCTTTCAATACAGAGTTTCTCTGTGTAGCTTTGGCTGTCCTAGAGTCGCTTGGTAGATCAGGCTGGCCTTGAACTTACAGAGATCTGCCTGCCTCTGCCTCCCAGAGTGCTGGGATTACAGGCATGGGCCACCATGTCCAACTTGCAGTAATTTCTTGATGACTTAATTCCTCATTATAAATACATACTCATATTAATTGTTTTTGGATACTATTTTTCCTTTCTTTGTTAGACAGGGTCTCAGGTATTCTAGACCAGCCTTGAATTCCCTCTGACCTTGAACTCTCCTGCATCTACCTCCCAATGCTAGATAACAGGTGTGTGCTTCTATGCCTGGTTTTATATAATGCTGGGGATCAAACTCAGGGTTCCATGCATGCTAATCAAACACTCTACCAACTGGTTATATCCCTACCTCGCACTTTTTCTTCCAAAGGACCCCCTGTACTGTGTAAACTTTAGATCCAATCTTAGGAAGATCAATAGCTAGGAGTGGATCTGAAGCCATTCACTGAACATTCTAGAGTGCTGTTGCTTACCTGGTTGTGACTTTGCTAAGGTGCAGAAAACAGTACACTAGATTTTAGGAGAACTGGACTCTTGTGAGGTATGAGCATGCTATCAAAGCCATAGGCCACAGACTCATGGGAGGAAGGGAAATGACTAAAGGGGAAGTCTGATGTACTACAGAAATATCAGAGATCTCTGTAGACTGGGAATCCACCGAGAAGCACAGGGCGAAGGTGAAAATAAGGTGGAAGATGTGCACTTAAAGTTGGAGGTTGGAGTATCACTAAGGTCTAAACTAAAAAGATCCCCAAATTGGGCTTGGAGGTGCTCACTAGAAACCCCAGCACTGAGGAGCTGGAGGCAGAGGATCAAAAGTTCAAGGCATTCCACGGGGAGGCTAGCTGGGGATTCACGAGACCAAGACAAACCACACCCAACCAAAAACCCTGCAAGGATGTGAGGCTCACGCTCCGGCCGCCTCTGAAACGTCGCCCAGTTTCTCCCGAAGCTCCCGGCAGCCTCAGGACCAGTGGACCTACAGTCTCCTGTCTTCTGCAGGCCAAGCCATACTGCCAGTCCCGAGAGCCCAGTGTAAAGTCGTTAGCTCAGAACAGTCCTTCTTAACCTCTTCCCCTCCCCTCTTGAAGGGCAAATCCTCCATTCTATGCTCACGTATTTATAGTTTTCTTCCCTCGCATTTATCAACGAAATTACAGACATTTGGAGGATAATTATCTGTACTATTTATCTTTCCAGAATAGGACAGTGACAAGTCCTCTCTATTGCATTTCAGTAACAGACGTTCTGTAAATGTTTGTTGTGTAAATAAAGCTCAGCCTTTTTATATGTAATAGCATTTCTAAGCATGCCAATTATTTACATATTTATTCATTTATTTTGTTTTTATTTTTATTTTTTAGGACAGATTCTCATAGCTCAGCCTCCTAACTGCTGGTTTAGAAGTATGAGCCACCACACTAGCAAATCTTTTAAATGCACACATACAAAATATGACTCAATAGATGACGTGGAGGTGGCATAGAGGTAAACATGTACTTTTTTCTGTTATAATTTGCTTTGAATATGTATGGTGTCCATACATATTCATGTGCTTGAATGCTTGGCCTATAGGGAGTGGTGTTATTAGGAGGTGTGGCCTTGGAGGAAGTGTGTCACTGTGTGTGTGGGGGGGAGGTGACTCTGAGGTTTCCTATGCTCAAGCTATGTCCGGTGTAGCATACAGTCTCCTGCTGCCTGACCAACATGAAATGTGTAATGTGTGGAGGCACAGATCAAGGGCTCAAATAGAAGCCTAAGGCAATACTTTTTAAAAAGGATTTTTTAATTTAAAGTATATATGTGTTTTGCTTACATGCATGTCTGCATGCCATATGGGTGCTTGCAATCTAAGGAGACCGGAAGAGCATGTCTGATCTCTTGGGACCGTGTAGGTGCTAGGAATAAACCCAGGTCCTCTGAAAGAGCAGCCAGTGTTCTTAACCCCAGGGCCTTTTCTCCAGCTCTTAAGGTAACACTTTAAATCCTTCTTATTTATTTATTTATTTGTTTGTTTGTTTGTTTATTTATTTATTCATTTATTTATTTGAGACAGAGTCTCACACTCTAGCCTAGGCTGACCTGGAACGCACAGCAATCCCTGCCTCAGTTTCCCAAGTGCTGGGGTTATCGGTGTAAGCTGCCAAATACAGTTATAGATTTTGTACATAGAAATGGAATAACTGAAACTTATTTGAAAAACGAAAGCTCTATTTGACATTCCAAAAGTTGAATAATACAAGATAGATTATACTTTTCCATTGAAAAGGACTTTAGGGCAAGAATAGAGGGCATCATCCCTTATCTGCAAGGGCTTTTGTCTTATTATGAACCCAAGCATCTTTTCTTTCTTTCCTTTCTCACCCCTGCCTTCTCCCACCTCCATTTCTTCCTCGGTGCTTTCTTTTCCCCAGCTCAACCTCCTCGGGTCTGAGATTTCAGGTGTTCCAGGCCGCCAGCACTTGGGTCTCTCCAACCTCCAACGTTTCAGACTCAGAACTCCTGTGAATAGGAACGCCCAAACTCGCACTTTTCAGAACTGCTTGTTTATCTATCCATATTTTCACATACCTCTCCTTCCTCCTCCTCTCTCTTTGAGACAGGGTCTTTCTATGTAGTCTGTTCTAGAACTCACCTTGTATAGCAAGCTGGCCTTAAACTCACAGAGATCTGCCTGCCTCTGCCTCTGGAGTGCTGGGAAAGGCATGCGCCACCATGCCCAGCTCTTTAGCATTTTTATCTGATTATACTGCCTTCTAAACTTTGTTACAAGGCTTTGTTCCAAACACACCCGTAAATACGAGCTCAATTACAAGACTGTGTCAAACTTGGCCCAGGTATAGTAACTGAAAAACACACAAGTAGGCAAATATAACTAGGGCATCCAGTGTGACTCTGTTTCCTGTCCAACAACCCAGGGCAGGTTTTAATCAAATACAAAGCCAACTGGAAGAAACAGCCCACGAATGGAATTAGTGTGAGACTTTATCGTGTCTCAGATATACAAGCAGCTGAACGCTTTGTTGAGGCTAAGTAACCGAATCACAGGGCAGAACAGCTCCTGGCTCAGGCCCTAGGAGTGCGGGAGGTGCCCCTTGGTCTCCGGGTGTACAGTGGTGGTTCTGGCGCGCTCCTGGTGGAGGGGTCGCAGCTCTTCAGCCTCCCGCAGCCTGAACCAGCCGGAGAGAGTTCTCCTTCCGGACTGGGTCATCTTTTTAGGCTGTCAAGCCGAAAAAACCCCTCTGAAACTCCGGGTCCCGAGGGTACAGCCTAGTACAAACTCCTAATCGACCACTGGCTAGTGTCAAGATGGCAAACTCGGACGGAGCCGGCGAGGGCGCCCGCCGCTCCCGCGCTCGCTCGCGGGGGCGCGGCGTTCCCGGAGAGCACGGCCCGCCCCGGCGCGCGGGCCCGGGGCGGCGGGGCGGCGAGGACCCCAGCGCGCCGGCTGACTACAGATCCCAGGGTGCCTCTGCCATCGCGCTCCCTCCCAGCGCCGGCCCCGCCTCCCCGGCCCTTGTTGTTTTGGCTGGAAGCGCTCCGGAGGAGTTTCAGAGAAAGTCTGGGCCGAAGCTAGAGGCGACGGATCGTGGGAAGGGGAGGCGGAAAGGCTAGGAGAAGGAGGGCCCGGGCGCGGGCCGCGCCTCCCCGAGCCCGCCGCGCGCCCCCGGGAGGGGGAGGAGCGCTGGGGACGGGACAGAGGGGTCCCTCCCGGGAGCAGAGCCGCCCTGCGCCTCGTCCGAGCGCCGATCCCCGCCCTCGTCGGAGGCTGGAACGCAGACCCACCCTCCGGCCGCGGACCCGCGTCCTCCCCGACGCCCGGCGACGCCCCGCCGCCGGTCCCTGCGCGCCCTAGGCGGATCGGGACCTGCCGCCGCGCCCTCTGCCACCCGGACGCCGCACGCCTTCCCGGGCGCCCTTTCCCGAGCAGAGGGGAGGCGAAGATCGCGCCCCGCCGCGCGCGGGCATTGTGTGTGCGCGTGCGGCGCGGGGTCCGCGGCGGGGAGCGCCCGCGGGAGGTCCTGTCCCCCGAGGGGCGGAGCGCAGGGCGGCGAGCTCCGGTCGGGGCAGTGTCCCAGCCGAGCCCTGCCGCTGCCGAGGCGGCGGGACGGCGCGCCTGGCGGCCGGGAGGCGCACTGAAGAAGGCCGGCGAGTGCTGGTCCCCGCGGCGCCCGGTAGGGGTACGCTTTGGTCCACGGGTCCGCAGGAGAGAGGTTCGGTCGCCGCCACCGAGCGCGCGGGGCCGGGCCGCCCCGTCGGGGGAATCTGCGAGGTCCTCTGGGCTGCGTGTGCCAGCCGTGCCCGGGGCGCGTCCGCTGTGTTCACCGACCCCTCCGGTGCCTGGTCCTCGGGCCCTCACGGCGTGCACCATGAGCGGCGGCGAAGTGGTCTGCTCGGGATGGCTCCGCAAGTCGCCCCCGGAGAAGAAGCTGAAGCGTTATGTAAGTACCGGTCAGGGCACCGCCGGCCGCTGCTGCCGCAGCTTGCGCGCCGGGCTGGCGCTTCCGTGGATCCCGCCCTCCTCTCCTCGATCCCCTTCTCGGCCCGCGGGCTCCGGACCGGGCGCGGTCCACTCGCACCCTGACGTCCACTTGGCGGCCAAACTTTCTCCCTCCATATTGCAGACCGCGCGCCTCCCGTGCACAAGGCCTCGTAGCCTCTTAGAGGAGCCCAGGTTTCCAGCTCAAAGCTGGCTGCATACTTCTGTTGTTGTTGTTAGTTCCACTTAGCAAGGGTGGGTGAGACCGGGAGAAAGAGCCTTCTTTTATTATCTGCATCAGAGTCCCAGGGAGCTGTTAAATCCCCCCTCGCCGAGAAACCGCGATGGTAGCAGTACTCAGGGGTTATCGATTGAGTCCGCAGCCGCTCTCCTTTGCGCCTCGAGGAGGTGGAGGGAAGCGAACCGTGGATGGATCAAGTAAGCAAACTTCTCAAAATACTCGCCCAAGGGAAAGGGGGGGGGGGCCGGCGGCTACGCGCTCCACCGTCTGCTTAGCAGGGTTCACATTTTCGCGGTTTTGCTATGAGGGACACTGGAGTTTGGCCCGAGAGCCCTGGCGGTTTGATGCGACAGGAGAGCGCTGGGGGGAGCCTCGGACGCGCTGTCAAGCCCGCAGGAGGGGACAGCTGAAGCCAGCAGGAATTTCTTGGTGTTGGGATTCTTTTCCAGGGCACCAGAACGGCTTAAATGGTATTTGCGTAATTGATTCAAGATGTTGATAGTGAGCTAAACTGTGCTCGCTGTTAGGAAAACTGTATCTTGAAGGAACCTACAGTACTTCAGTGGAAATCTGTACCCTCGTCAAGGAGCCTGGGATCTTAAGTCTTCCTCCAGAACGCTTAATTTTACGATGTTCCCTGCCAGGAGAGAAATAACACTTTGTCCTGGCATCTGAAGCAGATAGTTTTCGAGTAAAATGTGTTTTCCAAAGGCAAACCATGTACCCACTTAAGTAGAGTTTCCTACGTGTTTTGAAGGAGCCTGTTTGAGGTAGAAGGGAAATCTACGCTGAGTACGCATCGGTTTACTCAGCGCCTGCTTGTGCGAATACAGGAGCGATGTTTATTTTACGGAGCTCACCAGCGAGTTTCTGGTTCACTTTCTGCTAGAATTTACTACAGACAGTTTCATTGAAACGTTCGACAAATTGTCAGAGGTTCCCCAAAGATGTCTCTCCATCTGCCACGGTTTGCCTGGATTTTGTTAGTAAAGATGGCAACTTGATTCTAAAAATTTGAGAGTGTGAGTGGCATCTTCAGAATTAGTTCTGAAGGGACGGTTGTGTTGGAAGAGAGGCGGGATGGGGAGATGGAGATAAGGTGTTGCTTAGGAAAGACAGTTTTAGGATTCTTGGGGGAAACCAAAGTACAATATATTTGCTGATAATGCAATTCAGTGCATTCTTTCAGGCTAGTTTGTAGCTCACCAGAGATGGCAGGCTCCGTCCTAGGCACCAGCCACAAGGTAATGAGGTACGGAAGGAGAAAAGCCTCGCAGGAAGAAACCAACAACAAGAAATGGTCTTAATTAGGGCCAAATAAAATAAAAACTGGGCATGGTGGTGTGTGTCCATCCCACCCAGCACTTGGGAGACAGAAATGGGAGGACTCGCGGCCAGCCTGCTCTCCATAGCATATTCCAGGCTAGCCAGGGCCATGTCTCAAAAACAAAACACAAACGCAAAAGCAAGATTTATCATTAAGAAAATATTAATAATGCATAAATAGATAGAAATAAATTATGTGGACATATATATGTCATGATTACATGTGTGGACATGTGTCATTTGTTGATCACAGCAGTTTTCTCCCATTCAGGTCCCAGTCAGGCCAAACCTTGTTCGCTTCGGAATCAAGAAAGAGTGGGCGCATTCAGGGTTGTGTAGCGGTATACAGCAGCAGTCTACTAAATGCAGAGCTCAAATTACGCCACAGTCTTTTCAGTGTATACTTTGTGAGTCTGACTATTAGCTGAGAGTTCAAGGAGAAACCGGTCAGATAAGCAGTACTGAAGAGCAAGGCTCAGCCTTTGCTCCTTAAAGGTTGGGGGACGGCACACTAAGTGTGTGGAGAAAGTGAGCCAAGATGCAAAGTGCTTTTCATCAGCATGTCCCAGCTGAGTGGTGTGGATTTTTATAGATGCCTTCAGGAGAAAACTCTGACCCTAAATTGTGTTCCAGAAAGAGGAGGTGGGGGAAGCCGAGGGTTTTCTTGCTTGGTGGAAAATGAGTGTTTTCTTTGTGTGTTAGTTCGTGCGTGTTGCATGCGAGGATGAGTATAGGCATGTGCATGGCCAGAAGTCAGCTTCAGGTGTGTCGTTCGTCAGGAGCCATACATCTTGTTTTTCTCAAAGGGTCTCTGTGGGTCCTGGCGTCCTGGGGCTTTAGAGTCGGCTGGTTAGTGAGATTCAGGCATCCTGTCTCCACTTCCAGTGATGGGATTGCAAGGTGCAGCGCCATGCTTCGCTTTCAGCAAGGAAGCTGGGGTTGGACTGAGATCCTTGTGCTTCAGTGGGAAGCACCTTATCACCGTGAGCCATCTCGGCGGGTGACTAGTGTTTTTTTTTACACCTTAGTGAAGTGGGTGAAGATGGCCCGGGAGGACAGCAGACAGGTGCCTGCCCAGAGGATGAGAGACTGCTCAGTGAGATGTCTCTGTCAGCTTCATTCCCCAGATGTGACAGCCCCAGGCTATTCAACCTTTGACTTTGCTATCTGGCTTTATTTTTGCAAAAGTAGTTTTGACCAGGGAGGATAGAGCATGGATACATGCATTTTTCTATTCTTCTCTTTTCTTCTTTCCGCTGAAAAGAATCCTGCAAAGTAGGCCAAAGGCTGATTGATAATGGTTTATATTTTTCAACTTTTTGTGTGTTTTTATGGGGAGTGGAACCCAAGGCCTCGAGACCTCACACATAGTTGCAAGCGTTCTGTAATTAAGCTATCTTTCACGTTCCTTGACAATCCTTTTGTTTGCTTTGTTTTGTTTTGTTTCACTGTGTAGCCGTGGCTGGCCTGGAACCTGCCATGCTTTTGTCAATCAGGCTGGCCTGGAACTCACGGAGATCTGTCTCACTTTTGCCTGCCAAGTGCTGGGATGAAAGACATGTGCCGTCATGCCTGGTACTTTTTTTTTTTTTTCTTTTTTTAGTCTTTATTTATTTGGTGTGTGTGTGTGTGTATGTATGTGTGTGCGTGTGTTCATCAAAGGACAACTTGTGGGAGTCTGTTCACATGAGTCCCCATGTGGGTCCTGTGTATCAATCCCAGGCATAGGGGCAAGTGTCTTATCCTTCTGGGCTGTCTCTCTGTTCCGATAAGGGTTTTCAATGAGCATGTTCGCTATAGAAAGCTTATCTTGGATGCTTGAGTATCAGGATTCTGCCGGCAGATGTTGCCTGTGGGATTTTGACGCTTGTCTCAGTATTTGTTTGCTATTTGTAGAGTCCAAATGTTGATTAAGATGATTGTTAAGGTCTGTAAGTAGCCAAAAAAAAAAAAAAAAAAAAAAAAGCTTTAAGGTCAGGGAAACGACTTAATGGATTTATCATTGCCTCATGTTCAAGAATGTGAGAACTGGGGTTCTGATCCCCAGAACTCATGTGAACAGCAGGGCAGGCATGGTGGCAGCCTATAATTCCAGCCACAGGGAACGGCACACAGCACTCTCCAGCCAGCCTCGTAGTTACGTCGGCTGGACTTAGCAAGCTCCTGCAACGAAGAAAGCTCCTCCTTCCATAAATGAAGTAGAGAGCTGCTGGCGGGGACACCTGATGGCCTTGTGGTCCTGTGCACACACTCACACGTGTGCACCCGCACACATGGCAAGCCCATACATGCACAGACATCCATGCCACATGCACATGCAAAACAAATTGTGTTGATTTCCGCTTTAAAACCATCTCAAGTTGTGGCCCCTGAGTAGTTCTGTATGGCTCCAAATTTCTGAGCCTGCTTTCGGTCGGTGGAAACAGCCTTGTTTTCTTCACTCGTCTTTGCAATTATCTGAGGAGCTTCGCTCGAACTTCTCGGAGAGAGAAAGTGACATGAGATAGAGGGAGAGAGGCCTTGGAAGTGGGTTCTTCAGTCGTTTCTTTTTGCTCTTTTCTATACAGAAGGGTAAGAACTTCTGGCGTGCTCCCCTGGCATCTTGTTAAGGTTTGTCTGCAGTGGAGGTGAACACCCCCAAGCTTTCAGTTTTGCTCAGTGATCTCTGGAGCTTAGGTAGCAGGGCTGTAGGGACGAGTGGACGCCCTGCTACCGTGTACAGGAAGTCCTGTGTTTGATCACCAGCACCTCTGAACTAGTCAAGCTCCCGCAAGCCTGTAATCCCAGCACCTGGGAGGTGGAAGCAGGAAGATCCGAAGTCCAGGCTCAGTCTTGGCTGGGGGAGATAAGTGCACACCCGATGACCTGGCTTTGATCCTTGCAAGGAGAGAATTGGCTCTTGTCAGTTGACCTCTGACTTCAACCCAAGCTCCATAGCATAAGTACAACACATACACACACATCCAATTAAAAATAATTTAATTAGATTATCCTTACTAGTAGACTTGAGATTTGCCAAGGCAATATTCCTCCACCCCACCCCCACAAAGGAAGAAAAAAATGAGATGTTTTAACTGCTCTCCAAGCACTTGGAGCTTCAGTATAGTGGTTTAGTGCATGTGTGTAAAATGTAATGATCAGGTCAGGGTTGTTAGACTTGTCATCTGCTTAAACATTTTCTTTGTGTTGGCAGCCATTGAACATCTCTCCTGATAGTTTATAAAATATGCATTCTGGTAGGTGTTCAGATTCCTAAGGACTTATTTTAAAAAGTAATGGTGAGGGCTATAACACCCAGAGTGCATGTTACACATACGAGAAAACTTCAAAGAACAAACCCAATAAAAGTTGTTGCTGTTTTTTGAAAGCAATGGTGGAATTTTCATCGGGATTTG